CAAAGTGTTGGGATTACAGGCGTGAGCCACTGCACCCAACCGGTCTGGGTTCTTTCACTCAATGTGTTCACAATTAATCCATGCTATTGTACGTATGGCTGCTAATATGGTTTGGCTGTGTCCCCACCCATCTCATCTTAAATTATAGCTTCCACAATTCCCACGTGTTATGGGAAGTAATTGAATCATGGGAGCAGGTCTTTCCCATGCTATTCTTTTGATAGTGAGTAAGTCTCACAAGATCTGCTGGTTTTCTAATGGAGATTTTCCCTGCACAAGATCTCTTCTCTTGTCTGCCACCACGTGAGATGTGCCTTTTACCTTTCACCATGATTGTGAGGCTTCCCCAGCCATGTGGAACTCTGTGAGTCCATTAAGCTGCTTTCCTTTATAAATTACCCAGTCTCTGGTATGTTTTTACTAGCAGCGTGAGAACAGACTAATACAGCTACTTCATCCCATTCTGTGGCTGACTCATATTCCGTTGCATGGACAGATCACATTCTATATCCATTCATCAACTGATGGATATTTGGGTTGTGTTCACCTGTGGCTGTTAGAAATAATGCTGCTGTGAAGATTCATGTACATGTTCTTATGTGGATGCATGTTTTCCTTTTTTTTGGAATAAATGCCTAGAAGTGGAATTGCTGGGTCATATGGGAACTTCATGTTTAACTTTTTGAGGAACTCCCAAACCATTTTCCATAACGAGTACGCCATTTTCCATTCCCATCAGCAACATAGGAGGGTTCTAATTTCTCCACATCCTTACCAATACTTTGTTTCTTAAAAATATAGCCCAGCCTGGGCAACATGGTGAGATCTCATCTCTACAAAAAAATATATATATATTCTTTTTTAGTTGGCCAGATGTGGTAGTGTATACCTGTGGTCCCAGCTACTTGGGAGGCAGAGATGGGAGGACTGCTTCAGCCTAGGAGTTCAAGGCTGCAGTGAGCTATAATTGCACCCCACAGCACTCCAGCCTGGGTGACAGAACAAGACTCTAGCTCAAAAAATAAAACTAGGCCAGGTGCAGTGGCCTGTAGTCCCAACACTTTGGGAGGCTGAGACGGTTGAATCACAAGGTCGGGAGTTAGAGACCAGCCTGGCCAAGAAGGTGAAACCCTGTCTCTACTAAAAATACAAAAAATTATCTGGGCACGGTGGCAGGCATCTGTAATCCCAGCTACTTGGGGGGCTGAGGCAGGAGAATTGCTTAAACCCGGGAGGCGGAGGTTGCAGTGAGCCAAGATTGCGCCACTGCACTCTAGCCTGGGCGACAGAGCAAGATTCCATCACAAAAAAACAAACAAACAAACAAAAATAATAAAAATATAGCCATCCTAGTGGGTATGAAGCAGGGTCAGTGTCACAATCATGGCTCCCTCTGCTCTGGTCTCCTGCCCTGAGGCAGCTGGGGAGAAGCCCCGCCACCCAGCTGCCTGCCAAAGACAGGTGCAGGGCCTTTGCACCGTAGAGAAGCCTGATCCCCGAGAGGTGATGTAGCAGGAACTCTCAAATTGACTACACACGCTGACCCAGGAGAAACTGAGCCCAGCTCCCCAAATTCCGGATGGTGACCACTGGATTCCCAAAGGCCCTGGCTTTCAGGAATCTCTGTTGGGTTGTGAAGGGCTGCTGGGAGGCTCTTACCACACGGTGCCTGCCTGGAGGGCCTGGGACAGGTAATTGGCCTTGTCCAAGTCCTTTGTGAAGACAGCCGCGGCCAGCCCATACGTGGAATTGTTGGCTCTCCCGACAACTTCCTCCACGGTCTTGAACTTCAGAATCTGCATCACTGGCCCAAAGATCTGGAGTGAGAGAGCAGAGTAGGGTGGGTGCATCAGCATGGAGGCATCTGCCGTTGAGCTCTCACAGAGTGGAACAGATGATTCCAGATGGAGGATGAGCCCCTAGCCATGTTCTAACAGTTCCGGGGAAGACAATAGCCATCAAGCCCAGCAGAATGCAGAGGGAAGGAAGCTAACAGGGGCCAAATTCCTCCTGTGGGCCCCAGGCTTTACAAAGTTTCCCATTTCTAAATAATCCTGCCAGGTATGAGTTATTCACACATGACATGTAGATTTACTGTCAAATAATTTAAATTGTCTGGGCGTGGTGGCTCATGCCTGTAATCCCAGCACTTTGGGAAGCCAAAGTGGGAGTATTGCTTGAGTCTAGGAGTTCAAGTCCAGCCTGGTAAACATAGTGAGACCTCGTCTTTACTAAAAACAAAAACGTAAAAAAAAAAAAAAAAAAAAAAAAATTTGGCTGAGCACGGTGGCTCACCCCTCAACCCAGCACTTTGGAAGGTTGAGGCAGGTGGATCACGGGAGGTCAGGAGTTCAAGATCAGTCTGGCCAACATGTTGAAATCCTGTCTCTACTAAAAATACAAAAAATTAGCCGAGTGTGGTGGTGCATACCTGTAATCCCAGCTACTCTGGAGGCTGAGGCAGGAGAATAGCTTGAACCCGAGAGGTAGAGGTTGCAGTGAGCCGAAATCGCACCACTGTATTCCAGTCTGGGTGACAGAGCGAGATTGTCTCCAAAA